GTACATCTATCACTGACCATATTTCATGATCACTGTCATTAAACAATTTCCCCAGCAATAACATCGGTAGCAAGATAGCTAAGTTTCTGAGCTTTTAGTTGCCCGCAAAACAGCAGTATACAATCTTAGAAGATGTTCTGTCTCAATTAAATGCAGCTGGTTGTGGACAAATGTTAAAAATCTTTTTGACAACTGGGACTTTAAGTTTATCATACACTTACTCTGCTTGTATGTTTTCCTGTTAAACTAGACGCAGATGCATGGGAATACTTAAATGGGAGCAAAATAATAAAAGCATAGCAATACGGTACTAAGCCCATGTTATGCTTTGCGCAAGTAATAGTAGCTGACCTTATCTAATATTCATGAACTCAAGGTAAATCACAACTGCATAAATTCTTTGCTAAAAAACATGTGATTTGGTTATTTATATATTCCACATTTCTGACTAAATTCATCACCATTTTTTCATTTAGAATGCAACAGGAGTGAGTCTTCACAGATCATAAAAACTGTTTCGCCCTTAGAACTATGGCCCTATGGAACTGTTTACGGGAGATCCAACGAACAGCAGATTATAAAAAGGATGCTGGACGTCCATTTTAGTCTCACAACCACTTCCAGTACTTTTTGACTTCTTCCACTCTTTCGTTTGGAAAAATACAACAAAAACTGCAGCTCAACATTACAATACAACTTTTAAACGGGAAGTTGGTTTAAACGTTTGTTTGATATTCGATTCTTAATGAAAGTTCCTGAATAAATTTCTGAATCTAATGCTACTTTGTTTTATCTACTTAATCGTTGCAAGAAACTTGTGATAGGCGAGCCTCTCAGCACCTAGTTCATGTGTTCAAATGGTTGTGGACTGAATAGAAGAAGCATTCGCTTAACAGGCTTCCGTGTCTAGTAGCAGGGGATCACCAATACCTCAAGGCAGGAAACTAGGTATGTTAAAGAGGAAAAAAAATTGGTAAATCATAGTATGATACTATACTTAGTCCTTAAGAATAAACCCAGTTGCCTCTTAAAGGACTCCTGCGAAGTCGCTTGGACTAGCTCGGCCGGCAGAAAATTCCAGCATTTGACAACTCTTAAGGGGGAGTTGTGCCCACAGTCCGTTCTGCTACGTTGTGTCTCTAGTTTCTGGGTGTTACCCCTTAGGTTAGTGTTGGAACTAAGCTTAATCAGGTGTTTTAGGGGATGTCCAGAAGTGTTAAGGTTATTGTAAGCCATTAGGTCACCTCTAAGACGTCTATACTGTAATGAGTAGAGGTTAAGTGATTGAAGGCGCTCTTCATAAGGTGACTTGGTGCATATCCTCGTCATTTCCTTGGGAGACCTACAGACTCGGGTCCTCTCATAGCTTATTCTAACCACCATGGGTTGTCACGCCAGCTGATGGATGGACACGCGTTACACATCCTAACCGTACCTGCGTCTTATCTTATAGCTTCTAATTCAGATGCCATATGACAAGCAAGCAATGCCCCTACCCGCACTAATGGAACACTAGTAACTCAAAGGCACTCTGTATGGCACCTTACATTGGTTTACGCACTCGCTTAGCTCTTTAGTGAGAATAGTGCTGCAGTCCTGCTAAAAATCCCATGAACCCCCCTATCTCCATGAAAAGAAATAAGTCTGTATTTGCTGCATATAGCAATTTTATTTTTCAGAATTAAGATATAACAGTTAGAATTGGAGTAAAATGGTAGTATACAGCAGATTCACGTGGTACATGTCTTCATCGATTAACTGAAATAGAGAATACGGATATTAGCTTAACAGGCTTATTTAGAAATACTAGTGTCTACTTTGAACTTACTGCGTGAGAAAGTTATACCGGAACTACGAATAATGTAGGAATCTAGTTTCCCAGGGCGCACGAAGCACTCAAACTGGAAGACAGTTGTCCAAAAATAATTCGAATATGAAGGTGAAAATTTGCAGGTACTTTTCATCATAAGGGTGAACACATTAGGTACCGGTTGACATCATACCTTAAAAAAAAACAAATTTGCGAGTGGTGAAATATGATCTATAAAAAAGTCAGCTTAATAACAGTTAATTACCTTTTTACTCCCTGATCGTGACCCTTCGGCTTCCTTTTATGGCCAAAACAGCAAACATACACCACACACTGGTAGCAGATTTCCCGCTTTTCAATGTTAAGCTTGCTTTAACGCACTGAGTAATGAGTACAACCCCTCTATTACTGCTATTTGGCATATTTTTCATAACAAACCCTCTGCAATAGATTGGTAGCATCTGTGACTATCTATAGTTGTCGGAAGTCTGGGTCATTTCGAAATCAGTACCGATGTATCCTACTGCTGGGCACTCTGTATTAGTTTGACTCGTTGGTGGGATAGTGTTGTCCATACTACTGAAGAAAATTTAAAAAACGCAGACTGTTTCCTTTCATTTTGCCGATAACATCATAAAGGACAGTTAGGAACGAACATGCTAACAGTTAGAGTCACAGGCGGCAGCAACAATTATTTTAGCTAAATGAAAACGAACTTCGGCTTCGGATATCTAGAAAACAAGGTAAAACATAACCGATTGTCGTTTGAAAACGTAAGGTCTTATGCTAGTACTAGCCAGCTTAGCTGAATAAATACAGTGACTTCATTAGCAGCAGGTAAAACCCAGAAAACAAAGCAAAATCAGGAAAAACTTTGCTCCAACGTTCAGAGTATTACACTAACTTCTGAATTTTAGCACACTGAAACATCAAATTCCGTAGCTACACAAAAGAAATAGCTGAAAGAAGCACAGAACGAAGAAAGCCGACCGCCATTGCTTACGAAGATGGCGGATGCAATAATTCCCACCTCATTCTGATTGGTTGCTAAGCTGAAGGGCACATTTACGAAATTGAGTTGCGTTTAATTGCAGCCGCGAGCGGCCGGTAAATGAGACCGAAGTTTATAAAATGTGATAACCTTATAGCCAAGAAAAGGGATGATAATGAATAATTAGTCTCATAGTGCTTTTACTTTGATGGATGATTCAGAATATAATTGAGAACGATCTTATAAAAGGGTGGTTAGAAATAAGTGCATCCACAGACATAACAGGAGACGATATCGAAATGAAAAATGTGTATGTGAAATGATAACACAAAAATGACATCAGAATAATAAAATGGGACTGAATGACAAGAAAAAATGAAACCAATTCACCTAAACCTGGAATAATAAAACAATCCAATGAGCTGCAGATGTCGTAACGTAAATGCAATGTTCATAATATAATAATTCGATGAGTAAGTGATATTATTGCGAAAACATACCAATTTAATGTCGATACGACTAGAAATAATAATCTATGTTGAGTGATAATAGGACACCAACGTGATAACGAGAATAATAATTATTACAGTCATAATGGAATGACCTGCTAGACAGAGTTGACTCAAGTACAAGTTATCAGCAAGATGACAGGATTTGAGCTTTTCCATATCTCTGATTAACTGGCCTCTCAGATGACGTCGGAGTGAAGGTTGAATTGTTTGAGAAGTTCGTTGACTAAGTCAATTACTTAGTTCATTCACTGGGTGCATAGAGTTCGGATCGTTCATCGTCTATGTAGTTTTGCAGGTTGTATCTAGTTCGGAGTTGGACTTTCCTTTTTTTGATGCTTGGTATCTGACCACAGTTAGATCGTATGAAGATGCTAGGAACATAAATCTTCTTAGGACACCACAAGTATTCGGAGTCTGACAACGCTATTACAATTCACATCATTATGATTTGAGCATACCAACCCAGTGAAGTCAGAAGCGAGAGGGTTCGAAGATATTTTCGGAAAGCTAGCAATATGTAGAGGAGCTCGCTTACAGTTGCAAGGGATGAGTAGCATACGTACTCACTCGTAAACTGATGTTGACGAGTGACCGGGCGCCTTTAGTTAGATGTGTTCAGTAAAATTAATGTGATCAGCAGCAATGTCAAAGACTTGCAGAACGATTTATTTTGAGCATTTAATTACCACTAGACTCCTATCTAACTCCGTATATTACCCAGGCTAACCCCTTTTGTGTGACGGTAGTAATAAGAAGCCAAATGCAGGTTGCGTTAAAGGAATTTATTTCAAGCATTTGTTTATCAAGACAGACGCTCGAAATAAGAGGCTGAAAAGCGAGGCAAAGCGAAAAACGCGAGTAAGCCAACTTAATTTGATCAACCGTAGTTCAATATTTATGGTCAGACGAAAAGAGCAACATACACAATGAATAGGGTAATAAATACACACATATACACTCATACAAAAACGGCAAAGTTTAATAAGCAACTAGTTGGCAGGGCCAAAGTTTGAACTAAGAAGTATGAATGAGCTGGTTTGTCCGAAAGTTAAGATAACCCATGTGGGCTTGACTTAGTAAATGACACTACACAATCAATCCCGAAACACATTCCTGTAGAACAAAGCGAAGGTAATCCCGATATGATATGTCAATTTTTGATTTGTGGTAGATGTTACGGTATTCTAGGTACAGCTGAAACTATAAGGAATAATCAACTTGAACACGATCCATTTTAGTCCTCATGGCTCAGCTTCTAGAAGGTCACAGATCCTGATGCAACTTGTTCGGAGTTTAACTGAACGGAAAAAGTTGCTTACTAACTCAGATCACCTTTTTGCCAAATGTTAAGTGGTTTATCAGTGAATGTTATGGTTGTTATTATTATGATCAATAGGCCATTCAACTCACTTCCCTTTCGTTATCTCCGTTTGTTTGCAGATATATTTATTTATTTTATGAGTTGACTTATGTTTTACTTTTGGCTGTCTACTTTCCAATACTCTGAATTCTAGTTTTACGGTTTCATACCATTCGTCAGGCTGGTAACGTTATAACATTTGGGTCTAGTAACTTAAATGCCTCATAACAAACGGATTCGCTTAAAATTAAAATATATATGCTCTCAAATAGCTATCGAATAATGTAGGACTCTTGCGGCTAAGTGGCTAGATTCGTTACGTTGTTTATTGGAGTGACCTTGACACAGCTCAAAAAGCTGAGTAATTTTGGAAAACTGGTAACGTTCGACTGGTCTTAGGCTTCACTGAGGTGCAGTAAAATTAAGTGGACGGCACATATTTCAGATAGTGAGATATTAGTGTTAATTGGGATGTTGATCTGCAAAATTTTGTTCACGTGGCTAGCATGCGTGTCAAACATGTTCAGTTACAGACTGTTTTAGCCTAGTATTCTGTTTATTATTGTAGTTTAGAAATAACCTTAGAGCGATAGAATACAGAGAAATGACAGACTGTTGACTGCTCCATTTCCATGGATTCGTCCTCGAGCTTGATGATCTTTGGGTAATAGTTCAGCACCTATCTATCGGTCTTCCAACGTATAAACGGTTTAGGCTGATGAATATTTCGACAAGGGTCAGTGGTATTTCAGTGACTCTACTTCACTCTGTTTGATTCTATGGAGAGTAATAAACATATTCAAGATTGTATTCATGAGTAACAGTGAAATTTTCCTTTTTTGCACAGACTGGCTTCATTCTCGAAAAATCCTAGATAGCAGCTTCCAAACCCTTCAAATATCACAATGCTCATAGATGGAAAACCTCGGTGGAACTGGCCGTGGTAAATTCTCCTGTAGTTCGTATTTTTAAAATTTTATCCGTAGATTTGTTCTCATGGAGTTTAAAAGAGCCAAAGTTGTCGTAGGAGGCGATTCCGGTAAGTAGATTAATTAATCATTTTTTAAACCAGTACATACAATTTGTAATAATTTTTTTCTAAAAAGGTGTTGGTAAAACAGCTTTGGTACACTTGATATGCAATGGACAAACTCTTCTTCATCCTTCGTATACAATTGGTTGTAGTGTGGATATAAAAGTTGTCGAATTTTCAGTTAATTGTTTTATCACTTACATTGCTTTTGTTAAATTAGATTCATGTATACAATAGTGATCCTGAAAAAGAACATCCATATTTCATTGAATTATGGGACATTGGCGGATCAAACAGTCATGAGAATACTCGTTCGATCTTCTATCAAAATTTACACGGACTAATATTAGTCTACGATTGTACAAATAAGAAATCACAATTGAATTTAAGAAAATGGTTATCTGATGTATTGGGGAAACCAGTTTTAAAGAGGTAAGCCTTAAAAATTGTTTACCCACCTATTCGTGAATTATAAAGGTTTATATATATATATATATTTACATAGTGGTTAACTGACAAAAAGGTTCTCTGTTCAAACTATATTCTGATTTTCTGTGATTATTTATTTATTTCAACACATAAACATTGGTACAAGGAGGCACCAGATAGATATGCGCCACATAGATCATTCGATTTGTGTGAGGGCTGGGATACTGTCCGGGTGCTCAGACTGAAACAGGTGGTTTTCTTAGGGGGCCACACCCCGAGCCTTAGACCTAAAGGCCTAACCCACAAGGCAGTGGAGCATCGTAAGGAGATGCAGTCCCATGGTAGCCGGTGACCAACGATTAATTCACACTCCATATGTCCCTGCAGGATGCTGGAGCCTATATTCACCACTGGTTTGGAATCAGGGTTTTCCAACTCCCTTAGGTGGACTCTCCATGTCCACCAAACCCGTTAAAGCGTCAGACATTCACTTTTCCTCCTCGAAATGTCGTAAACAACACCCCCACCACGGGTACTAGGTAAGGATGGCAAATCAATTGATCAAGTAGTGAAACTTCGTCAGTTGAGATGGCTGGAACACGTGTTACGTGTGCCCAACAACTGACTGCCCCGAAGTGCGATGTTTTATGGTGTAGGAGTAGGTTGGGAGAAAGTTATGGGCGGCCAGACCAAAACATGGCACAAGTCCATGAAGTCACTGACAAGTGCACTGAGTCATGTTGGTAGGTGTAGACTACGTAGTTGGGGACCGCGAGATGATAGCAACCGATGGTTAGAGACCCTGAATGACAAGGCTCAAAATCGTTTGCGATGGCGCAAGTGCATCCACTCTTTGTGTTCTCCCACATTCTAATCTTCTGAATTCTTCATGTCCCTTATTTTCTTTCCAAATTTATTTCACTGTATTATACTCCTGGAATAACATCTTGAAGCTTTAATGTTTCTGATTGCTGCTTATACTCTTACTACCTCTACCACTACGGAATTTGAGTCGACAACTTCATCTCTGTGCTAATGTGATGTGGCAACTCGAACTGATGTACGTACGTACGAAGTTCTACGTTGTTACTAACTGACTGACCCCCGCCATCAGAAGGCAATGAGTTGGACTTCCCTGGTAGTGGTTGTATGCGCGTGGCTATGTGAGAGCATTTCGAGAGGGAGAGCGGACTCTCCCCACTCTCGGCCGTACCAAGGCGTTTGGGGGCTTTCTGTGATTACAATAGGTGAATAAAAGAAGACTTTGAAACAGACTAGTTTGTCGAGAAAAAATTATGTATACAATTTTTAGTCATTATCCAACGGATTATATTAGGTTCACTTCATTTCATTATACAATTTTAGAGGTTAATAGTGACTAGGAATACAGGCTAGATAGTTCTCATCAGTTAAGCTACCTAACAAACACTTTTGGATGTTCACGTACTAGGCTGTTCATACCGAAAAAGCTATGCATCTATTTCTGTGATTACAGTAGATGCATAGCTTTTTCGGTATGAACAGCCTAGTACGTGAACATCCAAAAGTGTTTGTTAGGTAGCTTAACTGATGAGAACTATCTAGCCTGTATTCCTAGTCACTATTAACCTCTAAAATTGTATAATGAAATGAAGTGAACCTAATATAATCCGTTGGATAACGACTAAAAATTGTATACATAAATTTTTCTCGACAAACTAGTCTGTTTTAAAGTCTCCCTTTATTCATTCGGTAGTACTCATACTAATCTAACGTTTGTAATATCCTTTACTGGTTATAATTTCTGTTGTATGAATCTGATTCTTTCTAATATAGACCGGAGATAGATATTGGAGGAGTAACAGCGGCTGCAGATGGTATCACTGCTCCTATTACTACTACTAGTAGTTATTGTGGCGGTGTAAGTAGTGAAAAATATGGTAATCTAAAAGCAAATATAACAAATCAAATGACCACTCTTCTGCCTATCTTAAATACAGAAACTTTGGTCAGTCGATCTTTCACATCGTCATCGGAATCACAAACAAGTAACAATAATCAGCATAATATAAACTATATAACTAACACAGTCTATCCACCTATTCTTGTTATTGGTACAAAATTCGATTTACTCAGTTCACATAGTCGACGGTCTGTGAATAAATTCACATCACGTTTTAATCTATCTACGTCACCATATATCCAAAATGAATTACCATCAGCTGGTAATTATCATCCATGTGTTCCAATGACGCCCAGATCATGTATATCGTCTGTGCAGTTTTTTGGAAATACTACACCATCAACAACAACGTCATTATCGTCATCGTCAACATCATGGAACTTAACATATCGTAATAATTATGCAAATGGCAGTGTTGGTGATGATCGCGAACCAACAAGTTCAATGCTACAATCGTTATCATCATCAACGCAACAAAGTGTATATATTGATTTAAGTGATAGTCAAAAACTTTCATCGTCATTGTTGACTTCACCAACAAAAGACAAAACATGGAATTTCGCCACAGAACATGGATTTTCAGAAATTCTACTAGTAAGTTTATGTATATATATATATATATATATATATCCAACATCTGGGTTTTGGAATTTAGAGAAGTGTATGACTTAAAAATTTTAAATGCTTAGGTTATTTTAGATAAAGTATTTTTAGGTAATAACTTGTGGTCAAGTAATCAAGGTAATGCTTGTAAACATTTGGCTTTTACTGTTTGTGTGTGTGGCGACCACTGACACAACATCCGTCCTATAAATATATGACCTAAGGTCATATAAATTGGGTTACAAAATTTTTAGCTTAGTTTGCGTATGTGTGGTGGACCGTGTGCACGGCCGCTAAAATGGTAAGAGTGAGATTCTAACCTACAAGTTATTGACTGTTTGTCCGAGCCATCTTGATATAAGCAGGCTAGTTAATTCGGATCTGCGAGGTAACCGTGATCCGTGGTTAAATACTTTACGTCATATGATTCATAATTGTTCGCAGTGGTGCAGTCGCATTCAATCTTAACCTTCCTCTCAATCTTCAATTCCAGTATTCCTTCATTCAAATCTTTTCACTCTGTTGTTTCAAACAATGTCATCAATGCTTACTCCTTTTTAACATAACTGGTATGTTATTTCGATTTCCTTGCTACCGATCCTATTAATATTGTCTCTTTGTGCTCATGTAGTTAGTAACTTGAACCGAGCACATCTATACCACGCTTCACGTTGTTAGTGATAAGCGAACTAAAGGGTTAGAGCCTACATTCTACAGCAGCTACACTACATTGACGTGGGAACTCAAACACCTAGAGGGAAAAAAGTACCAATGCGAAAAACTAATATGAGAAATATTTGTTCGAGTATTTTTTATTCTCATCTCAAATTCTATCCTCATACTAATTGTCCACTTGGATTTTTTCTGTGTTTGGTGTCGACATTTTCACATGGTTGGTTCTCATAACTTACATTATTATGAGACAGTCAAGATCAGAAACTTTTCAAACATACTAGTGTGATGGGAGACAATGAGAAGCCAGTGTGGGATTGAATCTGTCCTACAGATATTCTGCTAGAACTGTAAACGCGATAATGGCGACCCGAGAGTATATGTGAAAGTTATAGTCAGAACAAGGACAACTTGACTTTAAATCTTATCTGTTTCTAAAGGTAAAAATAAAAATTTGATTAGTACAATAATTAGAGGAATTATAGTTATTAAGTGGGACGTATGAACGTACCGATCAGTATTGCGTGTGATCGAAATGAATTAAAATCATGAGTCACACTAATATAACAGGATAACAACGTCCTTCAATTGGCAGGTTATATGTAACAGGAATAATCTACTGACACATCAGATCAGATCGACGTGGTGGACGTTTAAGTAACTATTTGGTTGGTTAGTTATGGACATAACTAACATCCAGAAGTGTTAGAAATTACCAAATAAAGTGAATTATCCTACCTGTTGTGTATAGAATATTCATCTGTATGCTATAGCCTTTCGCTTGTGATATAGTGTGATGTGTGGTATCACCAGTCCACATTGAACAAGTGCGAGACAAGGACACGGCTTAGGCTTGTTATTTTATAAGACTTGGTGAAATGGATCTTAGACTAATCCTTAACTAACGATTCTGAATGCGTAAGAATAACTAAAGGATAAAAAAGTAAGACTGACCCCTGAACTACTTTTCTCTCTTCTTATTTGTAAAATACTGCATATTTACCAGGACCTACGAACCTCAGACACTCACGATATCGGTTTTAGTTAGCTACTGGTTGCACATGTGTAACTGAATTGTTAGTAATGGACCGCTGGACGTTGACCTATTTATATACAAGATAAGTTCAATAATCTAGTTTACTCGATAGTATCAGTTATTGTTTTAGCTCCTTTCTGCAGCTGAAAAGTGTATCACCAAATACATGTGTCAAATAAGGCTTCCAAGTATTCATAGTATTTTATTAAAGTACTGTTTTTCATCAGAAAGATTCTGCTTTTCTATTGTCTATTCTGTTCAATTAACTTGTAGCCCTTATTTTTACTTTTATACTTTGAAGAATTGTAATTCAGTCGCTAGTATAAGTCCCGGAAGTCCACAAGATCTTCTATTAAATCGATTTTTTGATGAAGTGAGTTCACAGTTTTCTGGATTGATTCATTGATATGTAAATTATTTTATGTGATTGTTATTACGATCATAATTTTTTAACTTTACGTTAAAACACTGTACTAATTACTTCGAGAATATTCAACAATTAACAACTGTCAGTCAATAGCAGGCATCATAGGACTGTGCACAGGTGTCCACAGACTGAAGTTAATAAATAGAATTTTGGAGTGATCTATTTACATACTTATGATCTCAGCTTTAAGCTATACACTTCTGGGTATGTGCTTGTATGTGAATGAGAAATAGTCATGCAAAACAAATATCCGAATAGAAGTTTACGTACATGGTTATTTTATACAAATCCAGGAATATTTGTATGGTAATCAAATGAACTTGAAGTTGAACGAAAAATACCTGGAAAGATACTGAGACAAATAATAGTGTAATTATTTGACTAGTTGTTTTAGTGACGAACATAGATAAATCAACCGTTAGTTGCCCAAACACGTTAATAATCAACCGCAAGATAATTAGTGTGTCAAGTATTTGGTTTTGCAAGAGAACTTGTTATCATATAGGATAGTTACAACCTGAACTGCACAGCTCAATCCTATGATGCGACCACATGGGTACGAAGAATCCTGGTGAATGAGAAAGTATTTCTTATTTCTACTGATCTTATGAATAGTTATATATTTTTCATGTGTTTATGTCTAAAAGTTTGGAACTGTAGGATATCTTATTGGTTATCAGTGATTCGTGTTACGATACTTCTGATTCGTAAGTCGCTCAGCCATACGCAACGTAGAACATGGGACGTGTGTACATAGGTTCAAGTTTTCACATTTGATTAATACGCAGAAATAAAATTGTCGGAGCGAATCTCAGACTAGCAGAAGTAGTAACAGTATTAGTAGTAATAAAAAAACATCAAGCATCGAATATATGGTTCGAGAATAAAGTATGAATCAATGAAACAAAAAGTGTGTATAAGAATTTCGAAATGTTAAGATCTAAAGGAAGACAAAAATTCAATGCATCTGTACCATAATAAATGATTCTAACGTATCTAACCGGATACGTGGTAATAGATAGGGAGAATTCTCTTACTATTTTTAAGACAATTTAGTTTTTTATGTTAGAGTTCCACTTGACTTGAACATTCTTACCTTATCACAATTGATTGATCACTGGGTGGTGATCAATGTCATGCTTGTCTAGTCCTTATTAGTGCAGATCGAATACTATCGATCATGTTGTAATGTGACCACCAGTGTAGGTGATTCGACACTGCGGGCACTATGTATTGAGGTTAGATGATGGTTGGAGGTAGTCAACAGGAAACCCTGAACCCAGGTTTCGTGCTACTTGGCACTCGTCAGCAAGGTGTACCTGTAATCTTGAGGGAACTGGTGCTCCCTGGCGGATTCGATCTCGTGTCACCCAGCTCCACAGTCAGAGACGTTACCACTGAGCTATCCGAGCCGCGACTGACCTCCTGTAGGACTGAGATTTAATCACAATTGATTGGTCACTGGGTGGTGATCAATATCATGCTTGTCAAGTCCTTATTAGTGCAGATCGAATGCTATCGCGGCTCGGATAGCTCAGTGGTAACGTCTCTGACTGTGAAGCTGGATGACACGAGATCGAGTCCGCCAGGGAGCACCAGTTCCCTCAAGATTACAGGTACACCTTACTGACGAGTGCCAAGTAGCACGAAACCCGGGTCCAGGGTTTCCTGTTGACTACCTCCAACCACCATCTAATTCCTACCTTATGCTTGTCAGGATAGATTTAGTTTGTTATTATGTAATAGTAAAATACGCCATACAATAATTTTTTGGAAACTTATTAATCCTCTTTTTAATGTGTTCATACAACTTGAACAACACGATTTGCAATCCTACTATACAACATCCCTACCTTGTTCAGTGTATTGGTCGCCTTTTCATGGAGACTTTCTATTTTGCACGGATTTCACACTCAATTTTAATCTATTAGTCTTAAACATAACCTTATTCTGTTTTATATGTCTACATTTTTTTCATATACTAGTTCAATAATTTTGATGAACTCTCCGTGTCCACCAACCCGGCTAGAGCGATGGACATTCGCTTTTTGTTCTATCAGTTTCGTAAACAACACCCGCGTCATGAGAAGGTAATGAGTAGGACTTCCCTGGCATCGGCTGTATACGCGTGATCGTGTGGAAGCATTTCGAGAGGGGGTGCGGACTCTCTCCATTCTCGGCTGTACGAGGGCATTTTCGGGCTGTAACTTAATAGATGAAGGCTATTGTCTAAATAGTAGTTTTAATCGTATTGATATAAATACTATCAATGGTATCAAAGTATAATCATATAAAAAAACTGAAGAACGACAATTCCATTTCCAACCACCATGGTTTGAGGTTATCCTCAATGTTTTTAAGCTTTCATCAAGTATATTGTACCTAGTAATTTTGCGTCAGTTTTTCATTTGTTTAGTGGTTGATTATTGTAATATATCAGAGTATAATTTTCAGCAAACATTTTATTTCAAACAACGAAAGTTATTTGCAACTATCTGTTTGAAGAATGTCCAATGTAGTACAGCCTACTTGCTAGATGAATAGCACAATTATAGTAAATATTAAAACTTGAAATCCAATGCACGGCTTGTGAATCACTCATTGAACATTGAAGAATTTTTCGATCTAACCTCAACTATGGAGAGCAGTTAAACAAAATCACATTAATAAAGCAATAATTAAAGAAATTTAGCATGTTCAGTCATTGTTTCTTGTTATCTATTTCGTTAATTTAGGTAATCAATTACAAATTGTTTTCCATGTCAATGAATTGTAATTTATCACCTGATCTATCCCGAGTTAAACGACGTCCAGTGGATTCACGCAACAATATGTATAAATACAATTGAATTGTGTATATTTATGCATACAAACTCTGTATATTGATAATATGTGAGTGATGGTGGTATTGTTGGACCACCACATTGTTATCGTTGTTCTTATTTCCTTTCCCATTGATACTGTTACTACTTCCACTAATTACTTTTAAATTTTTCTTGATAATTCCATGTCGTATCGATTTAATGTGGCAACTCAAACCAGGTGTTGCGGTGTCTATAACCGACTAACTTTTAAGCCTTATGAACGTTTTTGAATTACTGTATCACACTGTAATTTTGGAGTGATACATAAAGTTTGTTTGATGTCTTTGCAATTTAAGCCCATATTTAGTGCAGTTAACTCTGTATTACTATTATGTTGTTGTGAAGTATAGCCTTTTGAGGTATACTATATCGGGATTTCTCACGCATAATAAAACAAATGAGTGAGCATTTTCTGTGTTACACATAGGCCGTTATGTAAGGATAGTAAACCGATCGATAATCTTTTGGATTTTCACCAATTAATCTAGTTGTGACCTATGTTTGGATAAAACTGGGGTGTGATCAAACAAAGTTGTAGCATCAGTTGATGAAGTCGTTTGGTGAGTAATAGAAGACGTACACTTCTTGGTTTAAGGCTCATCCTATAAATTTAATTTATGGCTACATGGTTTTAGACGATATAACCCCTAGACCTTGAGTTTAACACGTTGTTATCGGTTCACTTGTACTATGTTATCAGTCAGTCAGTAACAACGTAGACCTTCGTACGTACGTACATCAGTTCGAGTTGCCACATCACATTAGCACAGAGATGAAGTTGTCGACTCAAATTCCGTAGTGGTAGAGGTAGTAAGAGTATAAGCAGCAATCAGAAACATTAAAGCTTCAAGATGTTATTCCAGGAGTATAATACAGTGAAATAAATTTGGAAAGAAAATAAGGGACATGAAGAATTCAGAAGATTAGAATGTGGGAGAACACAAAGAGTGGATGCACTTGCGCCATCGCAAACGATTTTGAGCCTTGTCATTCAGGGTCTCTAACCATCGGTTGCTATCATCTCGCGGTCCCCAACTAAGTAGTCTACACCTACCAACATGACTCAGTGCACTTGTCAGTGACTTCATGGACTTGTGCCATGTTTTGGTCTGGCTGCCCCTAGCTTTCTTCGAACCTACTCCTACACCGTAAAACATAGCACCTCGTCGTTATCATATTTATTCGTATTAAAAGATTGTACATTGAACTTCATTTATGCTCGTTTTTATTTTTCTATAGACAATTTTGACATTGATCACTTTTATTTTTCTTGTTCTCATTCTAGTTTTTCACAGGAAACTTCCTTCTAATCTGCTTATATCATCAAGCAGTTATTGGTTGTTAAAACGATTTATGATATTTTATATACAAAACCATAATCATTCACTAACATTCCTTTTCTGTTTGTTCGTTTATTATTATTTTTTCTATTGCTCATTTTAATTGTCTATTTAGCCATCCATTGATGTTTTCAATTATGGGATCTTCTGTTCTAGTTAGTTTTGTTTTGAATTTGTAAAGGATTTAATTTTCCTCTTTTTTTTACATATATACTACTGCTAATACTACTATTCAGACAATAAAAACAAAGATAATAACAACTTAAGTTATTTTTATTGCGAATAATTTATTTTTCTTGTCAAAAGTTTTACACATTTGTACTTGCGTTGGCTCAAATTTTGTTTCCATAGGACATATTGGCAACAAAAAATAAACGAACACATGCACATGAGAATTTTTAAAGATATTTTCTGATTTCATTTTGATTAATGTTGTTCTGTGTCTTCGAATCTAACTTGTCAGCGTAGTGCACGCTGTATCTAATTCCTTTAAACAATGTGACCACAGTACCCGACCGTTGTTGCTACCTTGACGTGGTGGTCGGGCTTGCCTATCGTGATGGAGCAACCGAGCTGTACTGGCTGGAACAACCGTTCCTCAAGGTCCTACCATGTCAGACAGGTCGGTTGAAAAGCGGTAAGACTAAAAGCAACAAACATAAGGTCTGAAGGCGAAGTCGTACTGCTGACTGTACAGATGTGTGACAGCAGTAAGGCGTTTCCTTCAGACAACCAGCATGACAGCGATGCTGCCTTCCCACAAAGAGGGGTGGGGTTAGAAAAGGTCGACCCTAAAAATGCGCACCTCACCTTGCCCCACGGATATCCGTCTCCGGCGGTAAGGTCTCAACAAGCACGGAGCTAACACAAAAATTACCCATAAAAAGGTCGTGTGTGACCGACCTCAATCAGTTGTCCCTTTGGCACTGCGGTCACGCTTTCAGGTCACTAAGACCACCTCTAATCCAATTTCCTTTTCAGGCACCTCCAGAAGAACCCTTCCACGGTGTGGACAACCGGGCAGTGATAACCGCCCTCATACCTCTAACAGCACTCAAGACCACTGTAAGACCACACTACAACCTCATCGATTTATACTAGAAAAAGCTAGACAAACATAACTTTACCATATACTCAGTTTACGAGAAGTCGATGGTGGTTTGAATGGCTGAGTAGTAAAGTTTTGTGATATACTCTCTAATCTCACAAAGAGAATATTAGATCCTCAGAAATACAGGTAAACCTTATTAAAATTCTAACAGGGTTTCCTGCCAAATATGTCTAACCATCTAACAGTAATTGATTGTGTTAAACTGTAAGGTGATAGCTTAAGCAAATAAACCTACAGTCATTCAGTCTAAAGTCTGAATCAAACTTTCTGCATACGTAGAAGTGGGCTCCTGGGTGGTGGTACTGTTTACGTCTTCATACTGAGTGTGTAGTGGTAATGATATTTCTTGTTAGACGTAATTTATGTGTGTAAGATCAAAAACCTACTTGTCATCTAGATTATTTATTGAATTAAAATGAGATGATAGGTAAATGCTAAACCAAAGTGATCATCGGGTAGACAGTTCGGGACAAATTTTTAAATTAACAATTCACTACAGGGAAACAAACAGAATAACGACAATGCAGTATTGAATGATTTGGTTCTAAGTAGTGTTTCCACTAACCGGGGGGGGGTTTATGGCTTCATCTTAGTCTTGCACATCAAAGGCTAGAGACGGCAAATCATGACATGACTTGAATTTGTAGAATGAATTCACTAGTCCATTTGTTTAGTGTTCCGGAAAGTAACTAATTGCGAACAACCAGAAGGGGCGGCTTTCCTATGTCAACAGTGGACTCGTCCGGTTCTTTTATGATGGTGAGTCTTGAACTAGAATAACTATCTAGTAGCTTTGTTACAAGTAAGGCATCATGTGTCGCGGATAATGGTTGGATTTCATTGAAATTGAGGACCGATCTAAGATGGACAGTTACTAGAAACACGCAAGCAATTGACGGTCGTCTCATTCTATTACGGAACTCTTCAGCAGTGTGCATCATCCACGAGCTCACAGTCAGGAACCGAAAACAATGAGAGTTGGTCGTACAATGTTACGGATTGGTTAAAGCTAGACTATCCTGACTAGGTAGTTCGGAAGTTGTGCCCATGCTCGAGAACGAGGGTCCTGAGCTCGTGTGGTGTGTTCTGCAGAAATGTTCCATACTGGAATGAAACGACTGTCCAATGCCGCAGGGTTTTCAATGTTTTCCTAACGTGGATCGGTTCATCTTCCCATTCAGGCTCAAGTCTTCACAATCTCACATTAACGACGGATTTTGTTGTTGATTCATGTGTTATCAGTCCAGATCAGTTCCTATTGTCATATCGCTTTGCTTTTTTATATCATTCGCAGACTTTGTCACTTAGTACAGAGCATCTTTCAACTATATGATTTTCGTTTGGGTGCATGTCAAAGATTTGTTCAATTTTCATTATATTTATTCATCAAATATAAGGCCACTGAAAAATAAAGAGCTCGGATTAGTAGTTATATCCTAATTCGGAGCTAACTGTTTTGAAAAGGCGCATATAAGAATGAACTAAGGGATTTTTCAGGTCTCGAGTTAAGCATGATAAATTTAGACTCATACTGTCTCTAATTGTATGAAGTAATTTACATGTACGTGCCAGAGCATATACACTGGACGAACAGAAAGAAGAATTAGTGATTGCATATATGAGCAACATTTCATAGAAGCTTAGACTAAAATGACAGGACGTTTTCAGAGTTACTACTGTGGTGTGCTACTTATATTGGCATAAGTAGCATATAATGTTAGTCGTGAACAGAAGGTCTGGGAGCAGAGAGACAAGAGGATCGAACAGTAAAGAATGGAAATAGGATACAGTTTGTATGAAAATGCAAGAACAATGAAGTCTGAGACAATCGATGGACATTTTTCAAATTAAGCATTTACATTATGATTGTTAGATTTTATTAATAAGTCCTGTAATTTTGTGTTAAATACATTCGATTGTCCCCACTCATGTTCTGTTCACTACACTACTACTGACTGTGGTCATGATGTGGACAAATTAGTCTTTCAAAATAATTAATCAACCAAGAACATCAAACTTACTATATTTTACTGAATTAAGTATTACAAAAAGATCTAAAAAGAATTTACGCAATCTAAAGCATTCAGTTATTGATGTATGTGCGAGAATGATAATGAGATCTAATTATCAAAAGCAACTTCATAGTAGTTTAAGTAGCAATACTATCAGTGGTTGTAGGGAAGCTTAGGTATGGAAAAAATGAACGCGCAGCAATATGTATAAGATCATTTTAAAACTGGAAGCCTAATAGAAGACACTGGGGGAATGCAATTTCACCATCGCGATTAATAATAAGTCAGGTCACCGAAGTCTCTAACCTTTGGATACAATAATTTCGCGAACAATAATAAAGTATTTGACTGCGATCATGAACCGATTGATGTTAAACCACCACTGGAAGCACTGGACGGCCGATTCGTCCTATGGTGGGACTCCTTAGCAGTGGGCATCCACGATCCCGCCCTCAGGGTTCGAACACAGAACTTTCGGTCTCGCTCACAAACGCTTAACCTACTGAACCACTGAGCCAGCATCCGACGGTGTTAATGTCTAACCTCAACCAATCCACGAAATTGCGCGACCATCTTCCATTTTACTGAGGTAGATACCTGTCTCTACCCGACATAGATCACCTCCGCTTGTCACGGCTTCTCAGTAGAACTCCGAGAACTCTCTCACGAAGCTAGTCACCAGTGAGCACATTATAATTTTGAGGATAGGGGTTGTGGAGACAAATAAGTTTGATAGGTTCGAATCCCGTAAGCGGGATCGTGCATGCGCAGTGTTGAGGAGTCCCACAATAAAACAAAACGGTCGTCCAGTGTTTCCAGGTTCTCTAACTACCCATTGAGTACATCAAATTAAATGTTCGAAATAACCAGATAGTTATATAAATATATCTCATACTAAAGCATCTTGAACAATAAACACATACATATACACCCGTAATACAGAGTAGTAAATTGTTTATCTAAACAAAATTTGATTTTCTTTTTCATTACAAAATAATCATACATGGTATATATTTCATTTTATTATAAGCAAACATACATTATTTCTTCAAAATGAAAATCATTGACAAGAGTAATTGAAAAGCAACATGACTACTACTACTACTACTATTACTACTACTAATACTATCACTACTACTATTGCATCAAAATTGATTCTTAAATAAGCAAATTATTAATATCAATAAGTAGCATATTAGTAGTATATGTATAATACTTTTCAATAAGCACATAAGCTTGACAGCATAAAAAGTCATAGAAAGAATGATAATTATGAATAATATTCAATTCATAGTAATAATAACTATCATATTGTTATTATTTACCACAATTGTTCCAATCAACTTATATCAATCATAAAAAATAAATTTGATTAGTCAAATTTTTCTTTTTTTCCGAAAATGTTACAGAAATCAAAAAAATGTTCAATTATGAGTATATAAGTAGTAACATTATAACAAATAATGAAACATTCATTTCTGTTCACAACAACAATAGACACAGCAACAATAACAATAAAGGAAAAAAACAAACGTCAGCACAACTTGAACATTAAACAATCTACTCATCAATAGTCGGTATGGATAATAGATAACCTGAGGGGGATGTAAAAACAAAGAAAAGAAAAGAAAAATATTTGGTACTTATCAACGAAATAACAGAAAACAAATTTTCTCTTCATTTTCATACCGTTTTGTTTAAAATAAGATCAATTTTGTTGCTATGTGTGTATGTATTTATGTGTAAGTGTGTGTGTATATATATGTATATATAAACGAAATGGGTTGTCATAGATATGAATGAAAGTGTATTTAAGGGATATTTATTGATTTATTATAAATATGAGAAAGTATATAATCATGACATTAACATTGAATTGAATTTCTATGAATTTGTTTGATTATATAAACATATTCTAGCTACACACATTGTTATCCAATCTGGTGGTGCAACTGATTTCAATAATGATGTAATCATATCTGAATAGTGATATTTATGTTGTATAATTTCATATAATTGTTTGATTAAATCATTGATACTTTCATTCATTGAATCATATTGAATATTCATTATTGTTAATAATGATTGTAGATCATGACTCTCATTATGATTACCATCATCAGTATTAGCTGGTTTCTCATTTTGTTTATTATTTTGTATTTTTTCATAATGTTTAAATATTGTTAAACAATTAGATGGTGTTAATATAAGTAAAATATGTTCCGGTTTTAAGTTAAATTGGATTGATTTATTTTTATCTAAACATTCACTTAAACTTAGTAGTACATTAAGTTTAATACAAGTTAGAAATAGATCTACACATGGTTGTGGTTGTTGTTGTTGTTCTTGATGAGGATGATGTTCATCACTCTCTACTTTTTCATGTTTTTCAAATAAATTTAACAACGTTTTCAATGTTACAGCTAAACTAATTGAATGAAGTAATTTATCATCTGAATGTTTCTCTGTATTATTTTTGCTTTCCAATGAATGTCGATTTCCTGGTGAAGGTGTTTTTGTAGTTTGATTATCTAACCAATTTGTTAATAGTTTATCGATTGTTTTTTTAGGAAATCTGATTTTTTGTGAAGATTCGTTGGCTGTATTCTGTATTGCATCAACAAAAAAAATTCAAAACGTTATATCAATAAAAATATACACGTAATTATTATTGTCTTGTTTTTAACTACTTTTTTCTTTATAAGTAGTTAAATTTTGCCTAGAGCATTTTTGTAACGAGGGTTAAAGCAATGATTTGGCTTTAGGATGCAACGGTTTGGTTTTAGCATTCAGAGTGAGGATTTATGATTAGAACTTAAAGCTAGCATCAGGATGTAGGATCGACAATTCAGATTTACAGTTAAGATTATAGTTCAGGATTTATTGTTAAGATTTAATATTAGGATTGGTTTTTCGGTTAACCTTCATCCTAATACTAGGCCTCAATCTAATTTCCGGTTCTCAAACCAAATCCAAAAGTCTAAATCATATTTCTAACTCTAACATAAATTACCTAATCATATTTTATTCATTGAAGTGGATCATCTAAGTTCGATTGACGATATTGAGTTCCGGTTTATACATTGTGACTCTGAACTGATCTGATCACACCTGATTGGCTCGCCTTTATATTTCAGCTTTACTGATATTTGGACAGTTGATTATTTACGAAAATATCATCTGAATTTCATATGTTGAAGGCTTGGTTTTTGTCTAATGCATGCACGTTTTGATATAAATGTATTTTTAGATTCATATCAATAATGGATCAATGTTAGATCACCATTGAAAACCTGGAAACACTGATAAATGTTTTTTATTTTATTTTATTATTTTCAATGTTATCGGCTAATCGATTTTCAATACGTTGACTATATTCCATGTAAAACAAAAGCATTGAGTTATGAATAATTTAGTCAACCGTAGATCTTGATATCTAATTTTACATCCTTTGGATGAATAATAGCGCGTATCATTCAATTTTGTTTGTTTACAGTTATTATTAAGAGTGATGGAAAGTGGTTAAGACAAAGTATATATATATATATATATATATATATATATATATATATATATATATATATATATATATATATATATATATATATATATATATATATATATATATATATATATAATAAATCTTCAGAGACAAAAGATCAGATGCTATATTCCAGCGTTTTTGTAACTGGTTGAAACATAATACAATGGGATGAAGAAAAAACTATCCTTATTCGGTACGCGCGTTTCGTCCCATTTGGGAATCGTCAACTGGATGCACCTGCATCTCAGACTTGATGTCTTGGATTCCACTGCTAGCCACTATCCATCATTGCTTACAAAAAGCTTGTGAATTAAGGCAATATCGAGGCGTACGCACAGTATGCACATATGCCAATCACATACTGATCGATTGCAGTCTTAAACCTCAATGGGAAGATACAAGCTGAACAATACCAAGTGTATGCTTATTTATATTTAGTTATATGTCATTCAATGCATGTAATTCACTCATGTATTACAGTAATAATTCAAATAGTCAAAAAAACTGACATCATGAACTAACTTCTGTTATACAACTACTGAAATCAGAAAGCACTAGATAATAACTGTTTTGTTTTCGCATGGAGCTTTTCATTATTGACAGTCTATAAACCAATCAAGAATCTCCTGGTGTTCTTTTAACTATTGAACCAACATCTATTGGCTTACATAATCATTTTTATCAGTCCGTAATATTATGCAAACATCTCCATATATATTATTTGGTGGGTAAATACCTCAAATATGAAATAGCTAGATTTTAATGACCTTTACTTCTTACTACAACTCTTTGAAATGAACATCTGTTCATCATTAGTATTGCAGATTTCTGAAACTAGTCGAATTGATTTAGATTCCATTAGACTAACCTTTATTGAAGTTTATCAAATGACCTTTACTTCTAACTAAAAGTCTTTGAAATAACTCTGCAAATAAGTCACTGATGAACATCTGGATTCCATCAGAGACTAATCTTCATTGAAGTTTATCAAATGTAAGAAAAAAAAACAAACAAACAATCAAGAAATAAAGAAACAATTTACCAATACAACATATTCATAGTTTGTATTCGGTTCACAAACAACAGATAATTCATTCCAATCATCAATTGTACCATATTTATTCCATAATTGTTCATTGAAATGTTTTAATGGAAATAAGAATGTAACAAATTCACCTTTTAAATCTAATGAACGCAATTTCATACATGTGAATAAATATTCTGATAAACAATGAATGAATAATTTCGAGTTTTCATTGTTATCATGATCGGTTAATGATAAAGGGATATGATTCTCATTTAAATTATAAAGTAATGGATGTATAGTTTTCAATGCATCTATCAATGAAGCTAATGATTTTGGTGAATCGGAACGCATTACTTCAGCAGACATAGCAATATTGTTATTATTATTATTATTAGTAGTAGTAGTAGTACTAGTAGTAGTATTATAGTGGAATTTTGAAAATCGTTTATTTTCTGTCATTTTAGCAAAATATGGTAGAGCTAATGCATCAGGTTTTGTGGATCCAATCTGAAATATAAACAGAAGAATAAAGAATAGTATTATGATTGTTATATCCGAATGAAGATTAAATCACGAGTAACTTCTGAGACTTATTAATGGACTAATATTATCTATACATTCTTATGGTATAACAATTCAATAATTAGATTATATATATTTATATCCCTCTTATTGTAAGCTTTATTTCGACTTATAACTTATTACTGTACGATTTACGGTTCTGAAGCTACTATGTTCAATTTATTGACTACTGCCTCCCACATTCATCGTCACCTTTTGGCTTCATTATGTACAAATGTTATTTCCTATTTTATGGTGCGTTGCGGTCTGTTTGGTTGATATATAAACCCAGTATGTCTGAAATAAATGATTCGATTCGATTCGCATAGTGGAAACTGGTATTGGTGTTCTGGGTTCAAGTGGACGGACAAGGCGGACATAGGACCAATAAGGGCGCTAGGCTGCTCATATCGGTCGAACGTCATTGGTTTGGCACAGTGCTAAGATTGTATAAATCGTATTTTGATTGGTGGATAAATCACGTGAGAAAAAGCCGGACATAAAGTCACAACAATGATCACTATTGGTAATAGGTTGTAAGTTGACCAAATATTATGTTAGTTCAACAATTATTATTATTACTATTGGTGGCTTTATTCAATACCATATTTTTGGTCCAATATAGAATTCTCAGCGCGAAGTATTTCAACATGTTTCCTTTTCTTATTTCTTGATCGATCCTGATGATAAATATTGATTGATCGCCAGCTTAGATATTAGCAGTTCAACAATCAATATTTGAATAATGTCTATTGTTTTCGATGCATATTGCCAGAAACCGCGATGTCTCTGATTAGGCTCTTTTGTAAGTTGTACAACGAAACGTAGTAAATGTTTCACAAATTCACCTGAACAGGTTATGAGACTAATAGGTATAATGATGTGTTGAAACAAACACAAAAATAGATAACTTATTGAAATATTTAGATGGCAGGAATACGTAGCCCAGATATTCAATCAGGTTAAAGTTTAAATGATCATAAGACCTTAATGTAAAGTTGAAAACATTTCTTAACAAGTAGTCCTATCATGTTGGACGTTGATCATAGTTGAAAAGATATCGGCAGTAATATCTGTTCTTGTGGTAATGATATCTATATCACTTTGAATAGCTTCAAAAATTAGGCATTATTTAAGAGTAGTTTATATTTCTGGATCCTTGTGTTAATCTGATATCGGAGATAGTTAAGCATGAAAATCTTTGTCTACTTTTTTACTATGTTCCTATTTCATTAATTCTTCTGTTATTCAGTGAATATTGTGGTAAATTTTATTAGTTGAATTTATGAGTTGATTAATATAAAAAACTTGGAGGTAATGGACGACCGTTTTGTCCTAGTATGGGACTCTTTAGCAGTACACATTTAACAGTCATCCAATGCTTTCAGGTTTTTCATAGTGGTCTAGCTTTGATCGACTCATCAATTCAACTATTAAAAATAAATCTATTCAGCCGGCTATAAAATTCCCTCTTTTCAATGATAACAATTTAAAACAAAGAAATATGAACCACTGTTTCGTCCTATTGTGGGAATCTTCAGCAGTGCAGATCCATGATCTCGCCTCGCGAGATTTGAACCCAAGACCTATCAGTTTCGCGCGCGAAATTCATTTGAAATAAGTTGAAAAAAACCTATCGAAATTCACTTGTGAATAAATAGTTAAATAGAGTTAGTGGGAAAAAAAGTAATCACAATTGATAGTATGGTTTTAAGTCAACATTTATGTATAGATTAATTTGTGCAAGTTTACTATTGTGTAGTTAAACTGTTTAGTTATTGTAATTGAATAAGAAAAAAAACAACTAGTAATTGATAAATAGAACTAGATTGATGCAAACGTTTTAGTTTACATTATGGATTAGGAAAAAATGTACAGTTGAAAGTTAACTTAGGGGTTTAAAGGTAAAGTGGTCAGTTGAAGACTTCAGGGTCTTAGGTTCAACCTTTGGTTAGGTTTCAAGTAACACTGTTGAGGAGTCTGAGACTTTGATGTAACAAGTGTCCAGCATTTCTTAGTTTTAAATTTCCCTCCCTCAACTATAAAATATAACAGTTGCCATCGATTAATATATAGGGACTATTACTGGTATGTTCTTATGTCCTGTTAGTTATCACGTGACAAAAGTACCTATTAGAACACCGACTTATATTGCCTTGGCGCTGTGCCAAACCAGTGATGCGTTAATTGGTACGAGAAGTCATTTATGAGTCCTTATTGGTTTATCTCACCTAGCAGAGTCCGTTTGAGTCCAGAACACAATCTCGGATTCCACTTCTTGAATCATATATTTCAGACATACTTGGTTAATAAACAAGCAAACCAGAACAAATCATACCATAAAATAGAAAATAACAATTATACAAGATCAAGCCGAATGTGGCTGTGAGTGTGAGAGACTGTAACTAATAAATCGGGAATAACTTAAAAATAGTAAATCGTATAATAATAGACACTAGGTTAAATGAAAGCTTATAATAAAAGAAATATAAATATATATAATATAGTTACTTAACAGTTATACAGTGAGAATATATATATATATATATATATAATAACAGTCCATACATGCTTCCTAGTAGTTACCATTCATTTACTATTCGTTAAGATCTAACAATTAAGTTACAGAATCATCTTAAAGTTCAATTGTCAGTCAAATTGTAGCATTACCTGGCTAAGTTAACACTTCACCTGCTCAAAGTAGTTATCAGTGATTTTAAATTCAGGATTAGTCTATCTCCCATTAAACAAATACATATTATCAGTTTACTGATTTGTATTTCTGCTTAAGTTTGTTAATCCTTAGGAGCATCTATTCATGAATAAATGGGACTAGAGATTATATCAATGATTGGATTTCAATGTGAATTATAAAGTCTCTGAATGGTACATTAAATTATTTTTATTTTCTAGTTTAAATAATTCCAGTAAAAGTGCCTGACACACAATCATAAGCAATTGGCTATCAGGACTCAGTAGCTAAGTGGATAACGTGATGACGTTTGAAGCGAACGATACTGAGTTCAAGTCTTCAGGTGAACTCTAGGATGCAGGTACATCCAGCTGACGAGTCCCTAATGAGATGAAACGCGAGTTTTTAATTCTATTGCTAATCATCATCCCTCATTGCTTATGGTAGCTGACATATTTAATGAAATCAGTTCAAAGCAATTAAAGAATAATTATTTTGAAAACAGTTCATTCTTATTTAGTTAATAAATTCATTTGGATTATGTATGTTGACTCCCAGTATTAATTCGCATAAGTTATAACTTTTTTTTTTAAAGTCTGTAATCTACCAACCTTTCCAGTCAAATCCTCATAGAAAACTGATTATTTATAGTGAATAATAAAATGTTGTGACTTTTCTACAAAAGTCTTAACAGTTTCAAAGTATCATTTTGTTATGAGATTAGTAGTGGGGTCTTGGACATCTTATCTTCTATAAGGTTCGTCAGTTGAGTGTACTCACATCCCAGTGTTAATATTCACACTGAGACTGAAACCAACTAAATTACACTTCCACCAAATCTTCTGATTTGAATTACACTGTTACTCACATATCACATATCATAGAATAGAAACTGATGACTATAGACTGTATAGCGGCGATGTGCTCAGGATGCACATATTTTTACAGAAACTAATAACTTGCTGTCCTTAACGTCAACAACGGAGAAATATATACATTTACAGAATGAATTGAATTACTTGCATTTATTATTTATTTATTTAAACACATAAACATTGGTACAAGGAGGCACCAAATAGATATACGTCACATAAAGCACTCGAATTGTGTGAGGGATGGGATGCTGTCTGGGTGCCTAAAGGGGTGGTTTTTTAGGGTGCCATATCCGAAGCCTTTGACCTAAAGGTCTAATCCACAAGGCAATAGAGCAACGTCATGCAGTGGAACGTTGTTAAAGTCTGATGCTCTATCAACTGAGCTAACTTAGGCTCGAATGGTTGGCGCGGCTTGTTACCCGCTTACTTACATTCATTATGTAAGTAAATGTTGAGGTGTTAAACACATATTTCAATAATCACAAAACGTGACTATACTTGCTTAAATAAATCTGAAGAGGTATCTCATAGTTAATTACATCGACATTCAAGAGAAACCAATTTGAGGTTTGAAAAAAATACAACTGTACTACTTATGAGTAACTAGTTGTTTATCGTATAAATTTCGAAAGTTAATCATAAATCAACTGATTATTGGTTGATACACCTGTTTGATTTTAATCAACTTCAGGTGAATTGTTCTGGTGAGTGTGACAATCATTATGGTATTTGATATAATGTTACTGATTATCTGTCGTTTTGAAAGAAAGAAGAGATTAATACACCGGGATGAGAATGAACTCTATATGCTTTCAGTAAAATCTATCAAGATCGATACATAGTTGGACTACATGGTACTTTGTAAAAGAATGAATCAAATGCATAGTTACTAGGTTTAAAGAAATAGCATTATTCTACGTTTCATTGAATATTCACTATATTATATTGATTTATTTGTGATAGAGGGGAAAAAGCAAGTATTTAGGCATAAGCTAGGGTGAGCGCAAATTGAAATCTTCTACTAAGTAAAATAAAACAATTCAGGTGTAAATCATGTAAAGAGCTTGAAATATTGTGAATATATGCAGTGGGAAATCAAAGAAATCCATCTAAGTTTCCTAACTGTTCTAGAATATCGTGATATGGTGATACAATCAAAAGTAGCTTGGTGAGAAGGTCAATCGATAGCAATCAGAAGGGACCTAAAGGCGAGTGGATTTCATCGGCTAAGAAATAGGTTGGTTTACTAAAGGTTAGTGTGGCATGTGTACAAGTGAGTATTTATGCATTTCATTTTGTGGCCCAATACACTATCTCGCTTACTCTTATGTTCTCGCTTAAGTAGTTAGTTGGTGGAGCGCAGGGGGGTTAGTATGTAT